GGACAGGTAAGATTCTGCACAGACTTACCAATCTAAGACATAAGTTCATTGCTTTTGATAATGCATATTCCACAACAGGTAAGGAAGGCATTATTGGCAGAAAGACCTAAGACAGGCTCAGTCTTGTTTATAAAATAAAAAGGGGGAGAGGCAGAGAGCTTTTGTGGCTGCTTGACAGGAATCTGACATATGACAAGGACAAGAAAATGGGCTGCATGACAGGAATATTACATTGGCCAAGGACAAAGAAGTGTGCTTCAGGCAGGAATCTGACATTAGGCTAGAATACAGAAGTAATTTCAGGCAGGAATCTAAATCTTAGGCTAGAAAAAAAAAAGAAGTAATTTCAAGAAGGAATCTAAATCTTAGGCTAGGACAAGGAAGTAGGCTTCAGACATGAAAATGACTTTGGACTAGGACAGGAAAGTTGGCTCAGATATTTCAGTCATCCTGATAAGCCTTTAAAAACAGTAATCATGGGAATGTTCACTGAAGTTAGTTTATTGTCTTACTTGTTCCTTTACTATTTGCATCTATTACATTGCTAGTTTCTCAAACTAGAACTGACCTTAATGCTTACATGTGATTAAAATGTTATAAAAGCAAAAAGGAGGAGGGGTATGTGATTGGAGGTTTCAAGGGAGGGGATATGGGGAAAGGAGATGACATCTGAAATTTAAATAAATAAAATATCCAATAAAAAGAAAAATAAAGAGAATTACAGAAAAAATTTTGTTGATATTCAGCATACAAAACTCCACCAATGTACTCAATCATATAAACAAACAGAATGGAAAAAAGAAACATGGTTACCTCATAAGATGATGAAAAAGCCTTTGACAAATCCACCATCCCCTCTTCATACTTAAAGTTATCAGGAATACACAGCAAATACTTAGACACAAAGAAGGCAATATACACCAGGCCAATAACCAACATTAAATTAAATGGACATAAACCTAAATCAATTCCACTAAAATCAGATACAAGATAAGGGTATACACTCTCTATATCTATTCAATGTAGTACTAAAAATTCTAGCTAGAGCACTAAGATAACAAAAGAAGAATGAAATAGTATGAATTTGGAAAATATCACTATTTGGAGATAATATGATAGTATACATAAGTGACCCCTAAAATTCTATCAGGGAACTCTTACAGCTGATAAACATCTCAAGCAAAGTGGCTGGATACAAAATTAACTCCAAAAATTAGTAACCCTCCTTTACCCAAAAGATAAATGTGCTGAGAGAGAAATTAGGAAACAACACAATTCAAAATAGCCACAAATAATATAAAATATATTGGTATAATTCTAACCAAGCAAGTGAAAGATCTGTATATCAAGAACATCAGGTGTCTGAAAAGCAGTTGAAGAAGAAATCAGAAGATGGCATCATTTCCCATGCTCATGTATCAGTAGAATTAACATAGTAAAAATGGCCATCTTACCAAAAGCAATCTACAGATTCCTTGTAATTCCTATCAAAACTAGAACACAATTTTTTACATACCTTGAAAGAATAATTCTTCACTTTATGTGGTAAAAGAAAAATCCAGGATAGCTAAACAATCCTGTACAATAAAAGAACTTCTGGAAGTATCACCATCCCTGATCACAATCTCTACTACAAAGGAATAGTAATAAAGACCATATGGGATCACATAAAATCACTCAAGTTATTCAGTGAAGTTGAATAAAGTCCCAGAAGTAAACCCCACATTGACAGATACTTGGGTTTTCACAAGAATCCAAAATGATACAATGGAAAACAGAAAGCATCTTCAACAAAATGGTACTGGTATAACTGAATGTCAGCATATAGGACAATGCAAACAGATCCACATCTATCACCCCTCACAAAACTTAGATCTCAGACCTCAATGTAAAACTGGATACATTAAATCTGATAGAAGAGACCGTGGGGAGTTGCGTTGAATCTGTTGGCACAGAAGACAACTTCTTGAACATACACCAACAGCCCAGGCACTAATATCAACAATTAATAGATGGAACCTCATGAAATCAGAAACTCTTCTATTAGGCAAAGGGCACCATTAAAAGAAAAAAATGGCAACCTGCCAAATGGGAAAAAACTTTCATCAACTCTACATCTGACAGTGGGCTGATAAGCAAAATATATAAAGAACTCAAAAATTAAATATCAACAAACCACATAACCCAATTTTAAAAATAGGGTACCAATCTAAACAGAGAATTCTCTACAGAGGAATCTCAAAAGGCCAAAAAGCAATTATATAAATGTTCAACATCCTTAGTCATCCAGATAATGCAAATCAAAATGATGCTGAGATCCAATCTTACACTCATTACAATGGCTAAGTTCAAAACCTCCAGGGTAAGCTCATGCTTGTGAGAAAGTGGAAAAAAAGGGGGGGATGCTTTTTCATTTCTGGTGAGAGTGCAAACTTGTACCACCACTAGGAAAATCAACTTGCCAGTTTCTAAGAAAATTTGGAATTGTTCTATCTCAAGATGCAGCTTCACCACTACTGGTCATATATAAAAAGATGTCACCATGTGACAAGAACATTTGCTCACTTATATTTATAGCAACATCATTTCATAATAGGCAGAAAGTCAAAACAATGTAGGTATCCCTCAATAGAAGAATGAATAAGAAAATGTGGTATATTTTCACAATGGAAAACGATTCAGCTATTAAAAACAAGAACATCATGAAATTTACAGGCAAATAGATAGAAATGAAAAAGATCATCCTAAATCAGGTAATCCAGACCCTGAAAGACAAATATGGTATGTACTTTCTTGTAAGTGGATTTTAGTCATAAAGTACAGGATAACAATGTTACAATCCACAGATCTCAAAAAGCTAAGTAACAGGGAGAGCTCAAGGGAGGATGCTTGAATCTCAGTCAGAAGGAGAAATAAAATGCACATCAGAAGTGGATGGAAAGAGGAAACTGGGTGGGAGGGGATGGGTATGGGGTTTAGAGGAAATCAAGTATTGGGAGTTTAGGCGTTGGTGTAGAGGACTGAGAGTAAAAGGGGAAATTAGTGGTGGTAGGGAATCTCTGGGACAAGCTGGAGACCTGGAACGGGAGAGGTCCCTGGGAGGATGTGAGGGTGTCCCTAGCTGAGTCTCCTTTCATTGGGGGTATGGAGATTGGAGTGGCCACCTCCTGTCAACAGGCAGGAATTCTATTGGAGGGTGGAGGTTACCAACTCATCCACAAAACCTTCAACACAAAATTTGTCCTGCCTTCAAGACATGCAGGGAAAAATGTAGAACAGAGATTAAGGGAATGGCCAACCAACAACAGGCCAACTTGAGACTTACCCCATGGGAGATAACCAACCTTTGACACTATTATCCTGTCTGTTATGCTTGTAGAGAGGAGCCTACCACATCTGTCATCTTATAGGTTTCATCCTGCATCTGATGGAAACAGACAAAGACCCATAGACAAACATTAGGCAGAGCTCAAGAAATTTTACGGAAGAATTGTGAGTAGGACTGAAGGAGCTGGAGGGTTCAAGATCACCAGAAAAAGACCTACAGTGACAAATAACCTGGGCCTATGGGGGCACAAAGAGACTGAACCACCAACCAAAGAGTATGCACTGGTTGGATCTAGGCCCCCTATACATATGTAATAGATATGCTTCTTAGTCTTAATGTGGATCTCATAAAAACTAATTGAAGCAGGGACTGTCTCTGACCTGGACTGTGTTGCCTGCCTTTGGAACCCTTTCCCATAGTTGGGCTGCTTGTCTGGCACCAGTGGGAGAGGATGCACTTAATCCTAATGAGATTTGATGTGCCCTGGGTGGGAGGTTGGGAACCACTCCCCTTCTTTGAGGAGAAGAGGAGAGGGGATAGAGGGAGGAAGCTATGAGTGTAAGGTTGACAGGAGAAGAGCAAGGAGGCTGTAACCAGGATATAAAGTGAATAAATAAATAAGTGAAAAAAATTAAGAGTATACATACATGTTTCATCAGCAAATAATTAAGCTGGTATTCTTACAAAATATGATAAGTACATAAATACTGAGTAATACTTGTTTAATTTCCATAGCATCACACTTAGAAATGTTTGTCATGTCCAATCTCAGTAAATAAAACTCTAAATAAATGACTTATGTAAATGAAAATAAAGTGTTTTCAAGCTAAAATTCTATGAAGTAAATTGGAATTATTGATAATACACAACAAGACAGTAATAAAAGTAGCAAAATTTGATAACTCAAGATGTGGGAAAAAGGGCACAGTTGTGGAGGCCAGTGCTTTCTATATGGCGGGTCCCACATACAGGAGAAAGTTCTGGAGTTCTAAAGGCTGGAGGCTTTGGCAATGGCAGGCCCCAATGACAAGAGAAAGTCCTGGGGTCCAAAAGGGTTTATTTTCATGGTGGATGGTGGATGGATCTGGATGTACCCCCTGAAACTCAGGGAAGACCTGAGTTAAATAGGGAGGGAGAAAGGGGGTGGGTCTGAAGAAGAATGCTTAATTTGCATTAGTATGTAAATCTCTCTAGGGCCTGAGGCCTGTAGTCACACTTTGGGAGAGGCTGTAATGGCCTACATTGAACAATGTAGGTCCATGGAGAGTAGACTGTGTGATAGGACCCTGGGTTCTGGGGACGTGGCCAAACACCTGCTGTTTCTCCCTTGGAGTCTCAGGGTTCCAGGTCCATGGCCAACCAAGAACCAAGATACCCTTATGCAGTCCCACATCAAGACATGATTCTAGGGTGAAGAGATGTCTCTCAAAGATGGAGAGATACTAGAAGTACTGTATTGCTTAGGCAGAGACCTGAGATTAGCTCCTAGGACCCTAAGAAGAACGTTTATACCTACATGCAACTGCAGGTCCCTCAGAACCAATGCACTATTCTGTTCTCTGAATACACTACAAGCTGAGAGGCACACATACCACCAACAATATCACCACCACCACCATCCCCACCACCAACACTACTGTTGCTAGAATTAGTAACACTATCTTTTAAAAAATCACCTTCACAATTCCACAAGTTTTATTCTATGACCACATTCTGTTATTCACATATAGAACAACAGGAACACAAACATCAGTGTTCATATAATATTTAAAGGTTTTGAAACCTTATTCCCATGGGAACAGCCCTGGAGGGAAACCAGTCATTTTCTCCTGGAATACTTTATTGAAGGCTTCAGCTTGGGCTACTGTGAAGTGATTCTTCCAGTCCCCAGTTGTTCCTGGAAAATGTGAAGCAGATACATAAGAGGATTAATAATGGTCTTAACACTGCTCTAGTTCCTCCCCTCATACTCTATTACCATCTGTATGATAAAGACCACACAGCTAGTAAAGTGAACTACCATTTTCTGTAGAAACCTTCTTAAGCACTGAAATCATATATACAGACTTCTCCCTCTGTGGAAATTATGTTCCATCTTTTCCTCTCCCAAACTATATGCTAGGCAAGCTAACAGGAGCAACACTGGCTTGACATTTTTCTATGTGCAGATTATTCCTGCTTGCCATCAAACCTGTTTCCATCACACTATCCAACTCAATAGTGTTGAACCTCTCAATGATCTAAACAGACTTCAATTGTTCTGTCTATATTTTAGTATTTACTTATAGAAGTTCTTCACAGCATGCAAGCAACTTAAATAGTTTTTACATTTGTGTGTGTGTTCACATGAGTGCTGCAGATACACACAGTTATTAGTGGCATTTCAGTCATGATTTTCTCACCAGATACAAAGGACCCAGCCGGTCTCAGTTAAGAACATCGTAAGACTTCTGTTTCACTCAGCCATGGTGCTTTGTGATGCATGAAGATTTGTATAATTTCAGCCCCTGTCCTTTATAGCACTGTCTCTTCTGACCATACATTGGTTTTCACCACTCCATTCCAGAAGGTCGTCAGGTTTAGCCCTAGAGGTTTTCCAAATAGTCTTGTTGTATTGTGTCTTCCTTTACCACAGAGGGCTAATATCTTTCATATAATTACATCTTGATCTTCATCTCCATATTAATGACGATGTAATCTTCTCTTTGCATCTTTACTCCATTTAGAACCCAGAAAGTCCCATCCATGCTTTATTTCTTAGCTGTGGCACTGTGACATGTTCCATGAATTTTTGCTTTGAATTTACACACAGAATATGCATGTAACATATTTGAAAATATGTTTTACTTAAATTACTATATGCTTCATTTTGCAAAGAGTGCCAGATATATAGGACATACTCAGTGACAGATTGTTTTTAATGAATTCCTGAAGATGTAACAAAGATATAGGGAGTGCTCTAATTTTTCCAATGAGGAAAAGTTAGAACTTAAGATGTTACCCAGTGTGATACTGATGGATATAGATTTGAATACAATATTATTGACAATAGAAGTCATACTTTTCTTTATTACATTACTTTCTGTATCATCACATATGTTAATTTTAATTCCCCAGTGGTCTGTATTAAAGAAAATATAAAGATTTCATAAAAATGTCAACTACTAATACAGCGTATTCATATGCCATTAATTGATATGAATATAAAAGTGTCATTTAATAAGATGGGTACCTATCAGTATCCATTGCTACTCTCATGTTGCTTACTTTCTTCATTATTAGAACATGTTTTGTTATTGTTTTCCACAGCATGCCTGGATCCTGATAAGCCAAAACAAATAGATATTGGACTACAAAAATCTCTTTAAAATTAATATGTCTTCCCAATGTAATAAATCAGTCCATCTGAGAAAAACTACGTCTTTGGATGTACACACATTGAGTTCTAAACCCACTTATGTCAAAATCCTGTTCACCTTATAGATGTACATTTATTTTCATTCTTTTTTTCTAAAATTCTCCTCAAACTCTTCTGTGTCAGATGGCAGGATAAACCTAATATGTGGTAGTTTAACTCTTGTTGAAAAGGAACTTCCTCATAGTTCTGGAGACTGCAGGTCTCACATCAGGGTGTTGTCCAGACCTTTGCAGGCTTTTATTTTTGGTCTGCAGATGGCAGGCTTCTTCCTACGTCCTTAGGTCATCTTCCCATTGTTTCTCTGATTAATGTCTTTTGAAGATACCAGTGAAAATGATAAATGGTCCAAGTACTGTGCCCAGTAAACATACACTGTGAAGTATTTAAGGCTGAGTCTTTTGAAGTTTGTCAGAAGATATTTCCTATATATTTCTTGATTTTGGCATTGCCTTTAAAAAAATGTCTTGTCAACCATGCAGTGGCTGAATGAGGGTGAACATGTCTCTAGTCTGCATTTTCTGCAGTGTCTATATATGGAGTCATAATGACAACAATTGCATATGGAAAATTATTGCTTGAAGGTTAAAACCAGATTCATCTGACCAACTTGAATGATTGAGTATCCAAGGTAATGCTGAAAAAGTAACTCTCCAGAGGCAATAAAAGATAGTGTACTTGTATCTTGAGAAGAACAATTAAAGGATATGGGAAATCCAATTAAAGGATATGGGTCTAGTGAATTCCTCTTGGCTAAGACAAGTCTAACACTTAGTACAGTTTCTAATGCTTTATGATTTAGGGAATTAGATTATCTAATGCTAAACAATGAAATTGGTTTTAGAATTAATCTTTGATTTGCTCATATTTTGATAATTCAAAAATGGAACCAATCTGATATAGGAATTGAGAGGATAAATATTATCTTTATATACATTTTCCTTTCAAAATTGTTTCCAGATATATCCATTTCATTATCCTCTATAATGAAGTAGTAAAACAAATGGGTAATAAAGTTGGTGTCCCCCATCATTGACCTGGTTTTGGGAGGTACATGGCTCAGTAGCTATGTGTCACACTAGTATAAGAAAATTAATCCCCAACGGTAAAAGTTGTCTTTATATGCAAAAAAAGAACATATGCTACATATAATCATTGGGATAACTAAATTACAAAAGACTCATAAAATCTGATCAAGTATTTTCACAGAAGTATAATTTCTGTTCTTATGTATGCATGTATGTTTGTTTGTATGTATGTATGTATGTATGCATGTATGCATGTACTTCTCCTATCATCTATACTACATAACAAATAGTATGTGTATTTGAAAGAGATTAAGTCCAAGTTTGCTCTCATTCTAGAAGAATCTTCCTGGAAAAGCAGAAACAATTCTCCTCATGAAATTGTGTCTTAAATTCTATTCTCTCTGCTATGATGTGTCTCTCAGTGATGTTCTTGTCAGTTTTCTACTCCCTTTGCTATTAAGAGAGCATATTCATTCATTGAGTATTTAATAACACACTTTTATGTTCATTTACTGTTTTAACTCTCGCAAATATTGATTCATTTTAGGAAATCTAAGAACAGACCCCTTCTCTTAGGTGAGACCTTCATTACAGAGAAATATGTCTCCACAGAGTTTGGAGTGCAAGAGCCTCAGGGCATCTGGTAACAGAAGTGTATTCTTCCAGGTCTTGATCTTTAATGAATAGACACCAATTTACTTATTTATTTATTTATTTATTTATTTATTTAGTGAGTAGTGACATATTATTGTGCTTAAATCTGAGTCAAAATTTCCTATTATGAGGATACTAAGACTATTGAATTAAATACATTCTGGTAGCTACTTTGACTACATTTCATCTACGAAAACTCCTGATATCCTTATATTGTTAGTATCCAAATCTCACACTATGGTGTAGAGGAGGACTGAAAGTAAAGAATGAAGCATTTAAATTATGGGTAAAAGTAAATTAAGTCCAACACTTTTTATTTTCTTAATTTATACCAATGCTTTTATTCATTGTCAAATATCTGACTCTTGATACTTTTCCTGAATTACATCTCAACTGTGATTACCTAATCAGGTCTGGGTAAGACTCAAGGTTTAATCCATTCTGGCAAAGTCACTCCTTACCTACACAGCTATGAAACCACACTCACAATCTGCTCCCAGCATATAGAGGTGGCACAGAAATAGAGAGGATTGAAATTATCCTTCCAGGAGAGACAATTCAGAAAGAAGAGAGGGATCATGAACCTGAAGTAATCTAAACATAGGTTGGCAAATACCATCAGATTTTAACACAAGAGAATTTTCATACTGCTTTGGGGTCTACTCTTGGTCTACCTTGGGCAGCAATCTTGACCTGCTTAACATCTTTTCCAGCTGTTAATGTAATTTTTGTGATTCTATGATTATCATGTCAGATATATGTTTGGTCTACTGCATTTCACTTTTTTATATTTTAGAGTTGAGGTTTACAATACAGGAAACTTTTCAAAGCCTTATAGAAACATGACTACTTTCTCATTTTTTAATTGAAGTTATTGAACATGACCATCTCCAATCCCAAGATCATCTTCCAGAATAAATCAACTTTTCAGAGAGTCTGAAGCCCACATCTTCTCCATAAACCATTACCCTGTAATGTCTGTAAGAAGCTATCAATGATGAGCAGTGGCTGTTAGTAAGTTCCCAAAAATTTCTTAGAAATTCATTGGCACAACAATCCCTTAACATCTTCTGACATACTGTGAAGCTAGACAATCTCTTTACCTTTTCTCATGAGGTTCAAGCCATTAGGAAGTAAATCACTTTTGATGAGACTAAAATTCGACATGTTGTTTTCTTTCATGACTTCGAAAGAGCTGTACTTGAGGACCAGATCCAGCTCATCTGGCCCTAATTTTTTCCCTAGGAAGTCACAAATCTTCTTTATGGTTCCCTTTGTATCCTGAAAGAAGAAGAAACAGAAATATGAGCAGTAAACAGAGAACTCTGAGAGAACAGATGCAAAGAAGGGATCTGTGTATTTGAGACAAGAAAAGGGATGTGAAGAAAGGGGGTCAGCAAATGAGAGAGGGGTTTAAGCAAGAAAAGGCAATGGAACAAAGGCAGGAAGGACTCACACACAACATTTATATATTGAGTGGGACTGCAAAGTGGATGATTTTTGGTCCCTAAAAGACCTAGGCTGGGGTTCCTTTTTAGGGAGGAGAAAATATTAGACAAGGTCTCATAGAACCAAGGTTAAGCTTAAACTTGCTCTGTAGAGGATAATGACCTTGAATTTCAGACCCACCTGCTTCCAACCACATAGTACTGTGGTCACAGGTATGTGTCAACACACTAAGTATACTGATATTTTTTCTTAAGACAGGGGCTCCCTATAGAGTTTTGTGTTGTGTAATGGAAGTTGATGTGCAGACCAGTATATCTCAAGCTCACAGAGATCAGATATTTATCTATCTGGCTTTTTACTTCAAAGTACTGACATTGAAAGTATGTACAGCCATACATAACCTGCCCAGGACATTTAAAGAAACTTATAGAAATGGTGCTAGGCAATGATCAAGGTGAAAGGAAAAAGTGCACAAAGACCGATAGAGTTTAAAGTTTATGCCAGATAATACTGTTTTCTTAGGCTAACTGAGAACCATACAGCTTTATAAGAGTTTAATAAAAATATCCTTAATATTTATTAATACTTTGGAAAATTTTTGTTTTCAGTGATTATCTCATGTTTAAGCTGAGCTGGGCATCAAATTTACAATTTTTCTGTCTCAGATCTCTGATTGTTGCCAGAATCTCTGTGTACTACCAAAATTAGTTTAATCCTAGGAGGTAGTCATTACTTTGTCTTAGAACACCAAAAATTGTGCTTTGAATCTTAGCCATCACCCTGGGGAGGTTTTACTGGTTTAATACTTTTTTGAAACATATTTATCATAGTTCCACTTAAAAATTTCATATGACATTAAACAATCATAAAAATAACTGAAAAGAATGTGTTACATTGTCATAAAAGTAACTGATGGGAATCTTTACTAGTGTGAAGCATAAGCTAGGTAGTTAACTTTCCTAGGGAAAACTGAATTTCTTGATGATTAAATAAAAGGAGTCCACATATGGGAAAAAGAGTTTGATGGAAGATTTTTTTTTCTTGCATGTAAACTTTCTGCTTCCTGAGTGATGACACTAAGAGGTCAAATTATTTTTGAATAATTTGATCCTTCAGTTTTTGTTTGGTTACATTTTGATTTTTTATTAACAATTATTTTTCTCCCTTCAGGGAAGTAGGTGGGCTGACAGAAGACCTTCACCTTTCCCTCTGCTTCTCCAGATCCCATGCCCAAGTCTCATCCTTTGCTCTTCAGCAGAAAACCCATGGAAGCACTTTCCTTCTTTAGTGGATCCAAATATTATTCCTTTGTAAAATTGTTCCCTCTACTCATTGCATTATAACAGCTCCCAAGTTCAGCACTCCCTGTGAAATCACAGAACACGGTGGCCAGGGAAATAGGTAGGCTATGTACAGATTTTCACTTTTTCCAGCATTTCTTAAAGTACAATCACTCAGTCTCATACTTATCTCTTCAGTAGAACACCAAACTTTGGGGAGTTAATTGTTTTCCCCCAGCCCCCAACTCCAGAATTCACTCCCAAGGAAGCCATAGCACATAAGACAAAGAAAGAAATTAGGTAACACCTTCAGATCTTCATTGCCAGAAGCCAGGACCCTCTCCCTTACCCTCACCCCCTACCTTTCCCCACCTGCACAATGTCCCCTGCAGCTTGGCAACAGCAAGATCCTGCTTGGCAAGCAGTGTACCGTATCTTCTCAGGAAAGCAGGGAGACCATAACTCAAAGCAGTGTACCATATCTTCTGAAGAATAGCAGGTAGATCATAATTCAAGGCAGTGTACCGTGTAGACCATGAAATGTTTTAAGGCACAGGCCATGAAGATTCTGTACTTTTCCACAACCTGGCCCCTCTTACCCCCTCCCCTTGTAAAGCATACTATAAAAAAGCGCTTTGCGTTTGAATACACGGCTCTTGACAAGCAATTGCTTCCTTGAGTCCTTTCCCTCTCTCGTCCGTTCTTTTTTCAGGTTGTGGTCCTCCTCGCCCCCATGAATTACTAGGACCTGCAGGTCGGGTCACTTCATCTCTCCCTCCATTCTGCAAATCCAATCCCCTAGTCTCATCCTCACCTCTTTATCAAACTTTTTGACGTGGCCTCTCCTCACTATCTGGTTCTTTTCCCAGGAGATTGACATAGCAGATCCTAGTAGAACACCCTGATTTCCCCTCTTCTTGTGAAGTTTCTCTACTTAGTCCAGCCAATCTCCACTCTGAACTATCAGCTCTCACAACCCAAAAACATGTTAGGCCCCATTTCAGCACTGGTTTGGGCCTCGTGGACAAATTCAAATCAGGCTAGAGTTTCTGCGGCCTTGCAGCTAACCCTAGGCCTGGCTTAAGTTTTGACACCTGTTTCAGTCACTTCCATACCAGGGTGACTCAGCAAGACCTGTTTGGTCCTGCCTCTGCCCCTCCATAGCTAATGTAGAGCTTTGACATTGTCCCTGTCAGTCACCCCACACCCTCTGTCACCCTTCCCATCCTCCTACATAATCTCACCCCATTAAAAACACTCCCTATGTTCCCAGTTTATATAAGTGAAAGGCTGAAACAATAAAGTTGAGATCCTGCTTTGACAAGACTCCCAGTCTGGTGTGTTTCTTTTGGGCTATCAACACTCACCATCCCCCTCAGACCCATATATGCAGGAAATCTGGGTCACTACTATGAAAAGACCAGATCTAAGACTAATAGTGATAGAAGAAGAAAAGGAAACCTACATCAAAGGCAAAGAAAATATTTTGTACAAAATCATAGAAAAAATACTAACTTGAAATAATAGATGCCTATCAAAATTTATGAAGCATACAGAACACCAAGTAGATTGGATCAGAAATGAAAGCCCCCTGAGCCCATAATAATCAAAACATTAAATGTACAAAACAAATTATGAAAGATTGTGCAATGGCTAGGACGAGGGAATTAAGTGGGAAATGGGAAGGGAGAGGGGGGTTTTGGAAGGGAGTAAGGGCAGAGATAGGTAAAATTAAGAGATATTTGAGAGGTAGTGTTGAAACCTAGTACAGTAGAAACTTCCTAAAATCCATGCATATATGAAGGTTGTCAAAGTGAAATCACCAAATATTGGTCATCTCTTGTCACAAAAAAAGAAAAAATGAAAAATTCCGGTACTAGGATTGGGTTGTATCATTAGAAAACTCAATTATGAGTTTTTGGTCAAATGAACCCCATGGGAATCCCTATCAAAAAGAAAGACTGTTGATTACACTATAAGTTGCTATCCACAAGCTGACAGAAAGTTCCCATTGCTAAAGACAGCACCTATACAAATTACTGAATGGGAAGATATCAAGCTGGCCCCTGCATAGAATCTCCACTCTTATATCCTAGTGTCTGCAGTACATAGTGGCACTCCTCATGCTCCACAAAGAGAAATATTAATACTAAGCTAGACATAAAATCTTCCATTCATAATGATTATACTACTTGTAAGATAAGTTATGTCACTGGTGGCTCAAAGCTTATGTGAAAAATGAACCAGTAACTGATTTGACTTAAATTCCATTTCATGAGATGGAGCCTATATCTTAAAGTGTTGGGTGACCAAGGACCTGAGACTAGATAGCCCTGGGACCGATGGTAAAATCAAATATTGCTCATAAAAAGGAAAAGGAAAAAACATAGTTGTAACATGACTCCTAATGATATTCTGCTACATGCATAGAACAGTGCCTTGTTTATGCATCACCAGAGAAACTTCCTCATCCAGCAGATGGGGACAAATATAGAAACTTACAGCCATTACATTATAAATAGTGAGATGCCCTAAACGGATGTCTCCATCAAGGCCCTTTTTCCAGAGCTCAGGGGACCTGGCAGAAGAAAAGGCTGAAAGACTGTAAAAGCAAGAGGAAATTGAGAGCATCAAAACATATGAATGTTCAGAGACTGAATGTGATTGGGTAGAAGATTGGTGGGTCTTTCCCACATACTCTTTGTCTTTATCATTGCTTCCAGTTTAGTGTTTTCATGAGATTTCTGAGTGAGGGCATGCATGGGTCTCTGATCCTTTTGCTTTCAGTCAGACTCCTTTCCTTTCGTTCGTTTGACTTGTCTAACTTTGATGTGATAGTTTTTTGTTTTATCATACACCATTTGGCTTACAATTAGCATTGTCTAGCATTGGTGGAAGTCAGGATACAAAGTTAATCAGCTCAGGAACCTGGTGGTTTGGGCTGATGCTGAGGCAATAGAGGCATGCTGCTTGTTTGCTTGTTCACCATGGTATATGCAACCTGTTTTCTTAAACAATACAATCATGGCAGCCCCCACAAGGGGTTAGGCCCTCCTGCTTCAACCAGTGAATAAGAAAATGCCTTGCATGTTTGCCTACAGCCCAACCTTACAAATGCATTTTTATAATTAAAGTTCCCTCCTCTCAGGTGATTCTAGCTTGTGACATGTTGACACACAACTATCCAGCACATTAGTTTATATTGCATTCTATTATATTTTCTTCTTTTGATTTGGGAGGCTTGTTGTCATAAATATTTTTGAAAAAAATCCTTAAAATAGGGTGGGTAAGTAGGTATAGAAGATCTGGAAGGCCTTGGGGAGATGGTGAATATGATCAAAATACATTTACATTTGAAAGTTGTTTTAATTAATTAAAGGTAATTTTTAAAATGCCAAAACAAACAAATTACAGTTCTCAGTAGCATTTCTCATTATTAGAGTCTAGTTCTTCACTATGTGGTGACTGTAAGACTAATGCTAACCTTTTTCATGTCTTCATAGTACAGCACCAGGAAGTTGTCCCATTCTCTCATAGACAGCCAGCCACGGATGTGCTCAAACCATGATCCATAAAAGACTGTGTGCAGGGAGAAGTAAAGTGTCAATTACATATCTGTAACATAGGGTCTGCGTCACTTTCTTTTCTTTTCTGAAATCCACAGCAGAATGGTTCACTAAGAAAAATGTAACTAGTCTATATTAATAGCGTTAAACATGATATTTGAGGCAAATATACAAATAGAGAACTGATAAAATCAAGTTCATTAGCAAACTCATTATCACACAGATTTATTATTATGGATTAAATGAGGAGATATCCTACTGCCAACTTGCAAGGACAGGAGTATGTGTTGGGGAAAACCTATCACACAAATACAGGAATCCAGAGGATCCAGAGGGGATTCCTGTAATCACCTGCCTCCTGGTGAGGGTACTAGGAATACAGAAAGATTTGATGACAGAGATGGGAGAACTGTATTTTATACTTTGTTGAAAAGAAAAATTCCCATCAATACAGCAACCTATTGGCTGAGATCTAATGGTGGTATGAATCAAGGCAATGTGACATCGTTAATAATTACACCAAGAAAGTAAGAGAGGGGAATAAGGCACCTGTGTGTGTTGTGTGTGTGTGTGTGTGTGTGTGTGTGTGTGTGTGTGTGAGAGAGAGAGAGAGAGAGAGAGAGAGAGAGAGAGAGAGAGAGAGAGAATCCTTGTGAGGTTTTAGAATCACCTTATTAGCAGATGTATTGGAGATAGATATGTTGATTATGAGAAATATATGGGACACTGCCAAGCGGAAAAGACAAGAGGCAGAGGAATTCTACCACAACCTTTTGGAATAGGACCACTGTTAGGTTTCTCATGCCCACATGGATGGCTGCACATCCCTGCACATATGAGCATCACAAATTAGCCTCAGTGTCTTATATTTCTTGAAAAAATTTAAGTTGTGGTATGGAAATATTGGAGTCTATATGGTGTGTTAGAGTGCATATTGGCAAATCTAGTAGAACATAATACACTATATTCACTTTTTAAATTTTCAAAGAATAAAAGTATTATGTAAAATACACAAAAAAAATATGAAAAATAAATTAAGAATAAAGAAATGACTTAGTAACATCTAATGCTTGCCTAAATGAAATTCTAAAAGCAGATGATTCAGGAAGAAGGACAAAATATTTGATGCAAATTCACTTTATTTCAGAATGACTCCAGTCCCAATATCTAAGAATTATTTATTCCAAGAATTCATTTTGAAAAAATGATTTGGAAACAAACTCATAATGAGTTTTCATTGTAGTTTAGTAAAACTCTCATCCACCATCAGAAAATTTTATCCATGTAGTGAACGTGATTAATTCAAAGGCCCACAACTCTTAAAGGTGCAGACAATAAGAGACTTTGGAGTGGTTAAACACTAAATGGGACTTCTATGTGAAACCATTTATTCCAAGATTCAGGGATTATTTTGGATATGGATGGGACATATTATATAGGCAGAGGTGGTGGATGACTTTACTAAAACAGTGTTTTCTGGACACTTCATGGCAGTTGGACATAAAAACTCAGCAGTAGCCGGGTGGTGATGGTGCATGCCTTTAATCCCAGCAATTGGGAGGCAGAGGCAGGTGGATTTCTGAGTTTTAGGCCAGCCTGGTCTACAGAGTGATTTCCAGGACAGCCAGGGCTACACAGAGAAACCCTGTCTCAAAAAACCAAAGGAAAAAAAAACAAAAAAACATTTTGCCGGGCGGTGGTGGCGCACGCCTTTAATCCCAGCATTTGGGAGGCAGAGATGGGCGGATTTCTAAGTTCGAGGCCAGCCTGGTCTACAGAGTGAGTTCAAGGACAGCCAGGGCTACACAGAGAAACCCTGTCTCCAAAAACCAAAAAAAAAAAAAAATGCACTCAGATATAAAATAAAAATAAATCTTTAAAAAATGGCTATATAATTGGGTGTTTGTGATGACAGGAGAATATGGACAGAATCAGGGAAGGGAATGAATGTGAAAAAATACAATGTATGGAATTATTAAAGAGTTAAAAATATATTTAAATACGTTTCATACAAAGACAGGTCATAGAAATACTGAGTGAACTCAAAGAACATTAGTCTTTTAACGAGTTAGGAGGAAGAACAGTAAAAGGAATCCCTCATTTTACAATTTACATGGAGATTCCAAGAAAATAGAAAGCCTTAGAAAGTTGAAGTTTATGAAAACATTTATAAGGATTTTATTTTAAGTTTAATTTGTGTATATGCTTATGCATTGTTATGTGAGTTTGCATGTGTGTGTCTGGGTATACTTGCATAGGAGAGAAGAGGATGTCAGTTGCTCTGAAGCTGGAGTTAGATAAAGTCATGACACACTCAGGGTATGAGTACTGTGAAACAGACTCCACTCCACTAAAAAGACAACAAGTGCTATTGACCACTGAGACATCTTTCCAGCCACTAATGATATCATTTTCCAGAGAAAGATATAAGGTCAACTTTATTGAACAATGAAAAGTATGAATTTGTACAAATACAAAATGAAATAGATTTATAAAATGGAATGGAGGGATTTCTTTATGGCTCAATGTATTAAAGTACTTATATAAGCCTCATGATCAAATCTCAGTCTCTGTAACCTGCATAAATTAGAAGGAAATGATTGACTTCACAAAGTTGCCCTCAGGTTTTCACTGATGTTCTGTGACATGTGTGTATCTACACAGACACTATGAACACATATACCCCAGATAATAATAAAGAAAATAACTTTTAGGTAAAAAAGAAGGCAACTGTATACAATCTACAAATACTCTGGAAGACAGTCTTAATGAGGAGTCATGTAGATAATATTGGTGTGTGTTTGTCTTTAAAATATTGACCTTATTGTTAATTGATGGTGTAAAAGGCTGATGTACATTTCAGGGAGCACCATTCCTTACTCAGGGGGAGCCTGAGACGTATAATGGAGAAAAAATCTAGATGACCGCAAAAAGACAATGACCTGCATATTCATTCTTTCCCTGCTCATGACTGTGTAAACAAAGAAAGTACATTGAAATCAGTAAGAGTTAATCACTAAGCCAAATATAAAGGAAGTCCTCTGAGAATAACAAATTCATCAACTACAATGTTAAAGGCAGGAATGCTGGAAATCTGCACTTAAAGTTCTAAAAATAAAACCACTGACAAGTCAGAGTACTATACCTAGCAGTCTTGCTTGTCATAACTGATGGAGAAACCAAAAACTTTAAGTTGAACAACATGTGAAATAAATTAATGTCCATCAAGTCTGTTCTACAAAATAGACTTGAGAAAAACAATTGTATCCATTAAACCACAACAGCATGAATTAGTTTCAGCAGTCAAATTGATACATCAGTGTCCACTTTATGGTCTCAGTTAAGTGATTGCCCCCATGAGATTTGTCTGTGGCTATGTATTTGAGTGATTTCCTTGATTGATCATTGAGGTAATAGAGCTCAGAGCATAAACATGTGGACCTGGTCTATATGAGAAAACTAATTGAAAGGGAGACCCTGAGTAAATTAGTAGATTATTAGATTTCTAAACTGTTTTCACTTCAGTTTCTTCTTGAGATACTGCCCTGACTTCTTCTGTAGGTAGATTGTTGACCTGAAAGTCTAAGTCAGATACATACTTCCTGCTCCTAAATTGCTTTTGGTAAGGGTACATTATCAGAGAAACCATAAAGCAAACTAGAACAATAGGTTAAAAAAAACCAGCTTGTGTACCCTGACAGAATCATCAAAATGACAGGAAATAATAGATACATTTCAATGATAATTGTATATTGATATCAAGTCTTTAATCAAAAGACACAGGCTAGGAGATTGTATTATAAAGTAAGAAATATATATTTGCTGTATTTTATCATAAATGATAGATGGGGCCCTATAATGACATGATCAAACAAAGTGTTCCAGCCAAGTGGAACTAGAAAGTAACCAAATGTTGCTTATTTAATTTGAAAAAATAGACTTGAATCAAAATCTGGTGAGAAATGATAAACATCACTTTGTATTGATTAAAGGAATAATGCATGAAAAGGACAGTGCAATTCTAATCACAGGTCCACCCAGTCCTACACAGAAAATAGTACTAGATATAAATTCACAAACAGTAGTCTCACTGTGAGTAGTTGATGCATCATTTCATTAAAAAATAAACAGAATTAAATAATGTCCCAGATAAAACTAGCTTAACAGACATCTATAGTACACTAAATCTAAACACTACAGAATACACTTTGTTTTCAGCAGCCCATGGAACTATCACTCAAGTAGATATATATAAGGACACAAAGAAAAGTCTTAACTGTTCTTTTTATAAGTTAAAGTAATTTCTTATATTCTACTTGACAACAATGAAATGACTACAAATAAATAAAAAGAGAAATTCCAGAATGCAGACAAACTCATGGGAGATTTAACAACTAACAACTGCATGATAAATTGAAGAAGTCAAGAACAAAAGCCTCCTACAATCAAATGAAGATGAAAACTAAATAACCTTTAACCTGTGGAATGAAAGGAAAATAGTTCTAAGAGAGACATTTAAAGCTCAAACTACCTCCATTAAGATACCAAAGACAGGGCTGGTGAGATGGCTCAGTGGTTAAGAGCACTGACTGCTCTTCCAGAGGTCATGAGTTCAAATCCCAGCAACCACATGGTGGCTCACAACCATCTGCAATGAGATCTGATGCCCTCTTGTGGGGTGTCTGAAGACAGCTACAGTGTACTTATAATAAATAAATAAAATAAATAAAGTTTAAAAAAAAAAAGATACCAAAGACAGTGATCTGAAGTTCTCTTTTTTGGTTTGGTCCTTGTGTGTCAGAGTAATAGTGGCTTCATAGAACACGTTAGGTAGTGTTCCTTCTGTTTCTACTTAATGGAATAGTTTGAGGAATATTGCTAACAGGTCTTCTTTGAAAGTCTGGTAGAATTCTGTACTAAATCCGTGGCCCTAGGCTTTTTTGGTTGGGAGATATTTTAAATAACTTCTTCTATTTCCTTGTGCAATATGGGCCCATTTAGATAGTTTACCTG